CTCAGCAGATGCCAACTAATCATTTATTGAGTTGGGATGCTGTTGACCATGAACTGCATTGCCGGGGCTGGCTCACAGCGCTTTATGCATGAAGGTATGCCAACTACTCGCTTATTTTGGAATACGTGTCTTCACTCTCTCTGTGTATTGACTATGGACTGCATCGCCTTGGCTCGCTCACGCAGTGCCTAGTGCATGGATTTATTTGAGTTCGTCACTACTATGCCATGACTGAGCGTTAGCTTCTGGCTACCCAATACGAAATGTTGCAGCACATTCCAGCTAATTCGGTGGGCTTGTAGAACTATCGGAACTTAGGAAAGATTGTGCCTACGCAAGATGCAAACTCTTAATCAAAAGCGCATATGCAGTGGAGGTTCTTATGAATCTGAAATTTTCCAGAGTTGCAAAGGAAATATGCCAAACAATGAAGTACTCGAGAAATGGAGCTAGAATGGACTTATCAGAGCACTTTGTTGGACTGAAAAGCCAACCGCCAGACCAGCTGGAAAGCCCAAAAGTGAATGGACAAGCTGACAACCATGGACTTATTGAGTGATGTTAAATGGAAACGCATGCCGTTAGAGGCGGAGGAGGAGCACTGGAAAATTGCTCACAGTAGTGATAGGCACACGCAAAACCCAACGCAGCAGCTGTCAATAAACCATTAAGTCAGTTCAAATTGAATTGTACTGTATGATGCAGCAAAATCCAAGGTGCTGGGTGCTTGGCGTGTTCATGTAGCTGAATGTACTGATGTCAAGCAGTAGTCGTCATACCTCTATTAGGGTTCAGCCCTCTTTGCTGTTGGGCACATAGGTATTGTATACGCGTGTGCTTATACTGAAAATCAGTAAAATATGTCGTGAACATAGATGTCTAACGCAGGCTATGGACGCATCTAAAACAAAATCAACACGAATGATGCACTTTCTACCGTGCAGTCAAATGGATGACCAGAAGCATCCCTAATTTGTCAGTAGGACTTTGTGTTAGTATGCACGGCTACGGTGAAATTTCCATGTTCGTTGATAGTCTGAATTCATTAGAATATCTTACGCGTACGAAAAAGTTTATATCTATTATGGGTTTCCTTTTTTTAATATCCGTAGTATCCGGGTTTCCTTTAGTATTGGGCAAGCTCGTACAGCGTCATTTGTTATCCTCTACAGTACTTAAGGATAGAAACGCCATGATCGAACCCCGGCAGGCTCTACCAATGCTTTTAGTTGGGGGAAATAAATCCAGTTGATATCGTTCTCAGGGTGACGGAAAGGACAGAGCGAGCCAATAGGACTACAGAGCATATCATATGCGATTTCACTCAAAGCCGTGAGAGCGATCACCACTTGGGGTTCCACTTAAAGCTAGGTGCCCCTTCATGCAGCACTTTTTGACTTGAACTAATAAATGTCCCACCAATGGCCAGGATTCGGACCTGGTTAAAGGACCCCCACCAAGGAGTACGTCTCTGGCAAAGATCTCGAGTTTCACTCGAAAGAGAGCAGCACTTCAAAAATCGGGAAAAAAAGCGTAAACTGAATTCGGAAGGACTCATGTCGCGCGACCCGGAGCCACAGGTCGCCCGCTCCCAATAGCTGCGGATGCTCCGCATTTCAGGCTTTTGCTGGCTAGTCCTCACATTTTCCCGTGTGTTTATGTCAGCCTGGGCCTGCTAGCCCTTAGCCCTGTACAGTAAGCCTCTGCTGGCCAGCTGTTTAAATTACTCCTCACTCGTGGGTTGTACTTCAGCTCAGCATGTGTCCACAGTACGCAGCAGGCTCTGTTCCTGGCGCTGGACGCTGCAATGGGTGTTTTCCTGCAGCGACACAGCGATAGCTCACACGCAGTCTGAGGCTAGGGAATAATGGATTGAGTTGCACTGCACAACATGTGTCAGACCGAAGCACTCGTGCGGGGAAATAAGAGTACTTATCTGTAAAGAATTATTTGAGCATGGTCTCGCTCGTGCGCTGTACGTCGTGCCGCAACTCTACGGGGTCCTAGCGCAGTTCTGAAACTGAGTACATGAATGAGTTTCGTTTCCAGGAGCAGCGAGGAATAACCAGTAAATTTACCTAGTGCAAAGCACACCCGTGGCGGAAACTTTTGAGCGAAAATATGCAACTGCATGAATCTGCAAAGGAACAGCAGTGAACAAGCAACCCTGTCTGGCAGTATCCGCTTTCTTCAGAACACGGCAGATGCCAGCGGGAGGTTCGAAACGACTTGCGCTGTATGCAAAGATATTGCGGAAAAAACTTTGTGTCAAAAGAAATAGGGTAGCGACAACGCGCGTTAAGGGAAGCCATGTACGTTGGGAAAGTGGGAAGGGTACGTGGGTCGGGCAGCTCCCTATTTATCAAGGCTCTGGAGAGGCGAATTCTAAACATTAATGCCTCCCGCCCACTGCTCGTTCAGGTGCTTTTGCCGCAGCAAGAGGACAAATATAGGGTCGGTGGAATTCCAGGGGCAACACAGACAATCCAAGAAGCTCATTGATCGGGTGCAGCACGATTCCGTCCGAATGCATGTTGTGCGCTATTCCTGTGAAGCAGCGCACCTGATGAGTGGAAAAGACAAGCTCCGCACTGTAGAAGGCCACAATATCTAGTTACACGTAGGATCTAATACTAGCATGTTGCGTCTGCGACACTTGCTGTATTGTTCGCCCCAGCGAAGCGTTTTTTCTCCCATACCCACCCAAGGAAAATTCAGCTTGTGATAATGTCTGGACCACGACGACTGTGAGTCAGAGTTGTCTCAAGGAAGACCCGAAGAGGATTTTGTTGGCGTATTCCCACCTCACTTATGTTCCGACGTTTTCTTCGAAACAGTCTTGTTCCTACCGAAGTGCTGAGTTCCCGATGTAACAAACCCAAACAAACGCTATCCTTTAGCTACTATAGTGGTGCCCTCCGCCAATGTTGTGATCGTATAAGGTTACAACAGCACAGCTCTACGGGGGTATCCTGCAACACTCCACTAATCAATAAACGGGCTGCAGAGGCATGCCACTGTGTACTACTGATAGAGTGTAGCTAGGATTACTTTGTGCTTTCAAACCGAAAGTCCTACGGCACTCTGTAGCGTGCTATAAGTGTTTTGGTTCGATAGCAGACGGGCGATCCCAGCTACGCTATTCCAGTCAGTATACTACTGTATACTACAGTATACTTGAGGGCTTTTGGCTCAGTAGCAGCAGAGCAGTCGTTACTACCTTAATTGTCTACGTTAGCATTGTGCAGCACCACACACAATGTTGCACAGAAACAGCCTCCGAAGATTGTGAAATCTTCGACAACACACATCAGTGTTGATTAAAAAGTAAATAAAGAAACCCGTTTCTTCCTAGCAAACCAAGCCTAGCGTTTAGAGTTCAACTAACTCTTGGGCTGGGGCTGCCAGCAGTCACAAGAACTCTAGGGAAGACGGCAAAATTCCCCACAATAGTGTCTTGTTGCTACGCATGAAATTTCATTTGATATTTCGTAGTCAGTTTCTGTGCTCAACGAATTCTCCAACGCGGCAGAGACAACAAACTACCTCAATACGTTGTTAACCCTGCTCACGTACCACGTAACACGTGAAATATCGTTCCTAATTGAGCCCTGTTCAAGCACAAAGGTGTGTTGTGCCGAAATGGAGACTTTTTTTGGAATTTAAGAATAAGGACTGAATCCCCGGCATAGCTTTTCCGTAAAGAATGTGTTTCATTATCTCCCGTTCTATCTTTGTATGGATTGCACGGTCAACCCCTTTTTCATACGATTAAAGAATACAAAGTAAGGATAATACCAATTGCACCAGCACACTGTGAGCAGATAAGTTACAGAATATGATTAAAGGAATAATAAGGACCTTACCAACTGTAACGCTCACTATGCGCAGATAAGTTATTCAATCAGCACAATCAGGTATTCAGTATTGGAAACTCCCCTGCAAAAAACGTCGACAAGATGCTGAATGACAATACAGTTGACTGAATTGTCGGAAATGGAGAGTCCGATGTATTTCGAGCAAAGACACTGAAGACATTGAGCTTATAGCCGACTACAAACTGTAAAGTAGGAGAAACTACAGATTAACCAACAACTGTACCAACGGGTAATGCAAAATGGAAGTGTGCAACTGCATACAGATCAAAATCTAAAGCAGTTCCACCTATTAACGGATGATGCGAAACTATATATATCGAAGTTGAACCAAATACACTTGAATCTCTATGCCACTCAACGGAATTCAAAGTGCTAATTGACTAAATTTGCTGTTTCTCATCTTCGATTGCCGTACTTCGTTCGCCGAAGATCCACAAGCGTTGAAGCAGCGACCTCGCAAGAGGTCTGTACCAGCCACATCTGTGATCCTCCCGCGTGTTTAGAAGGAAAACATGGAATCCTCGTGCTCCTCTACTGACTAGCATAGCCTGGTAAATATATTTTGCGGCGGTAGATCCATACAGAGAAGCGATGACTTGAGTAGTCCGCATATTCGATATACATTTATATTCCGAAAATTTTTCCCCTTGTATTAAATTTATTGTACCTTGCACTGTAGCAAGAGTACAGCCCAGAGCATAAGACTGCTGAAGACTTGAAGTTTCAACTCCTTCTTCCTTATTTCATAAAAAGCAACGGCAGGTTATAAAAACATTTTAGTTTGAATAACGTTCGTTGCGGGACTTACGCAATATCTCACAACACGAGCTGACAACCATGCGCCTCATGTACCTGAATATAGTAATGAAAATTTACTACAAAGTTAAAAAACAACATTTCAAGCTCTGGTAAGGTTCCTAATGTTACACCGAATTAGACCACATGCTCCATCGCTTGTGCGAACCCCTTCCAATTCCTTTAAGTTTCACCCTTGCTAGTGTACTACGTGATCGACGATACGAACTTTGCTTGGCAAGGCTCAATTGTGCCCGCTATTGCCTTAGTGCAAACGTTGCAACAGGCTCTTGCAAATTCTGCGAGATCCTGTTTGCGGATAGACGATCAGTTCGTGGGCTGGACGCAGCAGGCCTGTTCATCAAAGTCGATGACAATGGGTCCGAAGGTCTCTGAACAGCCGTTTTGTGGTAGAACTTCTCCACTGAACGTGTAAGATGGCCGAGACACAGATACCCAGCGACGCCCCGTCAGGCTCTATACACACACAGCACGTGCAACCACAAAACCGGTGCCCCGCAGAAGTCAATAGCCAGCAAGGTCATCCGTGTATCTACTCGTGCTAAAGCCCGCCAGAGAGCGTCCACAGGCCACTACAAAATAGCGAACTGGTCCAAGGCGAGTGGCAAAGTGAGGTCCGCTAGAAAGTCGGGTGTCGCATCGCTTATGTTTGTACAGTAGGCTCGTGCACGGCGTAAGTGTTGTATTAGTCGCACCATTTGCTGCTCTCTTTGAAAATTTGTAAGATTGGCCTCCGTTTTTAGGAAAATTTTGTCTCCTTTGGAGACATATATTTCCCTTCCGAGAAGAACCACGTTTGTATACCAGCTGTCGCACTGCCCCTCGTAAATTGGGCCAAAAAACAAACCCTGCAACACTCATGAAAATACCAGCCAATGCTTCGCCTCCAACGAAAATGGTAGATGCACCCTGAGAGCACCCCCAGACTGAGGCACAGCCGCAGCAGCAAAGATTGGTAAACAGTGACGACTAAGTTCAAAGAAGCAGCAGTAGTCCACGGTAAAAATGGTCCACGCTCCCAGAAAAGAGCAGGAACCCATGCTCTACTTGTAGGCGACCAGCTGCAGAGGTCGCCTTCGAACGGACTGGTCGAATCTCGATTTCAATAGCCGCTAAAAAACCTGCGAAAAGACCCTCTCTCTCTACGTCAAAGAAAAATGTTCGCCGCTGTCCAGCACAGCACAGAAATTCGCAATGTAAATGTAAAGCGTGAAAGTGCCGGGAATGGAGCCGTAGTCGCACCAACCGCTACTCCAACTTGCTTCACAGCTTTATGGTAGTTGAACTAAGCGCACTTGCAGCATCTGTGTATCCATTCGGGCTTCAAATGCCAACTCCTCTATTGCCTTGAGCTGGCTGCTCAAGAGGGTCTCGCTGAACCGCAGTCCTACCTGAAGCACAACCAGTAGTACACAGGAATCAGCCAGTATCCTCTCCCCAGCCTGTATATCGAAGTAGCAGCAACTATGGCGGCCAGCCAGCAATCTAGCTCCCCAACCGCGTTCGCAGCCAAGATAGCTTGACGGGCCACTGGAAAAAGATTCGCAGATGTAGCAGCATGGGCGGGCCTCACCGACTGCATCAGACGTTCCCGAGGGGAAAGAACGCTACGTTCGGGATGCTCGCTGGCCTTTACCAAGGCACAAAATGCATCACAACAGGTACTGGAACTGCCTACAGACATGCCTACAACCTTGGAAAATGCTCAATAAACTAAGCAGCATCAAAAGCAACGCAACTTGAAATAACAACACCAGTGGTTGCAACCGGCAGTGCAGCTGCAACATGAAGGAAGACCCTAGCAACAATTTCAATGTGGGACAAGACGTCCAACAACAACTACGTCAAAATGTTTGAAACTGTCGATTGCAAGTGCAGTCATGCTAACCCAGCAGCTGAGCTAAAAATTCTTAGCGTCTCTGTGCCCTACGGGCCACGCTATATAATCAAAAATACATTTTGGCCCTGCAGTGAGACACACTGGGCACTTGATGCAGCAGGGAGAAGGCAGTTCGGATACGCCAACGAAAGTCCTTGCAGCGAACGGAATGCTTTGGGGAATAGTTGCACTCCGCTCCTGGATATCCCTGATGACGTCAGCTGCTCCTTCCTGTGAGGCAAAATCACCCAATATTTCGTGTATCACCATGTCGTAGGACACGCCCTCTAGTCGATTCGGCTGGGGCTGATGGACAGTTGACTGCTCCCATAAACGGAAGCTTCTAACCATAGGTTTACTCCTATGGCAGCCGCATTCTCCGGTGCAGCCACTGTCGGTCCTACTGGGAGACGCTCGGATGCGCTTAACAGCCCGTTTCATTCGACCTTGCTGGCTCGACCGGAGACGTCGCGTAGCACAGCGTGGAACAACTGCCAAGGAACCTATGCCTTCTGCTACCAGCTCCGTCGCCGAGTCTTGAGTATTGTAGTGCGGGTGAGAAGCCGGTGCGCATGACAGAGAAACAACTACATGGGATGGAGATGCTTTGGAGACACACTTCGTAGAGGCAACCGCATGGCCCTTTGATGAATACATCGGGCATTCGCATGCGCCCGTATCTTCAACACCCAAAGGCGCTGCAGTCTTAATTAACCCCTTGTTTTCCATTGTGCAAGAGGATTCTCCGACAGAAGAAGCGGCCGCTTCACGATTAGTAGCCGATGATTCCTCTACTAGGTGTGGGAGTCTGCTATGGCCATGCAATGCCTCGGTGGTGGTTTCAACAGAAATTTGCCGCGCTGCTACGGGAAACAACTTTGAGTAACATCTGAAGACACGGAGCCGCTGCAACTCTGATTCTTCTACTCCAGCTTGACAAGGGCGAGAGGCATTTACGCCTATTTGTTGTACGAATGTGCTCGCAAAGTGATAAACCCCGGAGTTAAGCTGAGAAGGCAGGAACAGAACATGCAGGAACACCCTTGTGGACAAACGAGAAATACGCAGGATAACGGTAGATTAGAACTGTGCAGCGGCATCGACTCTGATACAGAAGCTGCCCACCAACAACCCCACGAAGGACAGTACCTGATACCACCAGCCTACAGAACATGCTGCAGCTCACTTCCAAAGCATCGACTTGGGCAGCGCCTTGCTGCACAGCAAGAAGAGATAAAAGCGCCAGGGGACCGCAGCCGATTTCCAAAATGCGAAGTCCAGTAACATGACTTTGGAGCTTTTGCTGGAGTCGCTGCGGCTGGTGCTGCTGCTGTGCTTTCGAGTTGGGCAACTCTCGAAGACTCTCGTGTAGCTCTTCCCCTTGCAAGTGCTTTTTTTGCTCCTGCTCCTCCAGCGTTGTGGGCATCTTCCAGAGAATCGCCTGTTTGTAGAATCTGACTCGGTCTTCATCTTGTAGCATTGCCTGGCGACAGCCAATCGCACAGACAAAGGGATGCGGCGTGTACACCAGCCAAAAAAGCCAAGCGCCATAATAGGAGAAACTACTTCTGAGGACAAAAGTGCCTCTATAGATAAAAGCTTAGCATCATCTGCCCTCAAAAGTTGGTGCAAGCGAATTTTCAGGCAGCGCTGGTTCGTACTAAATGGTTAGGAATGCCAAATTGTCCACAGATGGAGGCCGTAGAGGGTGGCACCTTTTGCAGGGACGATCGCCGAACAAATCCGCCCTCAATAAGCTTGCCAATTTTTTCCTGAAGCAAATGCAACGAGCAGCGCCGCCCGGAGGCACAAAGAGGCACAAAGGATCATACATGGGCCGCGGAAGGCAAACGTCCCAAAGGCTTAGCGGCTTACGCTTTATCAGACAGCGTGACGTCGTTAGCACTAGCTACCCTGATGGCATCTGCCGAAGTTGTACCAGAACTGCCAATAGCAGCACCCTACAGCATACGTAAGAGACGGTTGCCATCTTGTATGGTTTTCGTGAGAGACGCGACGAGCCGTTAACTCCCGTGGGGGTGCTCTGGTTGCTTCAGCAGCAATTCCAGCATCCAATAATCGTCGTTCTTCTGCAGCAGCCGCAGCAATTTTTAGAGGATCATCCATGTTTCCAGCCTCTACTTCAGCAGCAGCAGCTTCGGCCCGTTGTCTTGATGTACAAAACCTTCCGTTGTAAGCTGGGCGACCCCAATCTCAACAGAAACTACCACATCGCTGCAGCTGGCGCTACTCTTGAATGCTTCACAGGCACTCCTCCGTTGATACTGCTGTTGCCCCGAAGATAAACGGAAAAGTTTTCTGGAGTTGCTGCGTCGGCGACAGCTCCTTGTATTATTGAGATACCGTCGGCAGAAGCCCGTACTGATGATCCTCTCCAAGCAACAACAGACGTACGCCAAAAAAGGAACACGCGATATCAGATCCGCACCGTCCGGCACTTAATGGCGCCGCGCCACCAACGTCAGAAGAAAGCACTTACATCCCTACTTCACAAATGCATGCCACAAGCCTGACAGTGAGACAAGGCGGCCGAACTAGCCAGCGGAGATGCTGCGCCTCACTGTGCTTGAAAAGGCTCTGCGTTCTGTGATTTGGGCTCCGCTGTGCTGAGCAGCTTCCTTGCAGCTGCCTGTTACCCCTTTAGCCGTTGCTTTTCGTGAAGGTGTCTTTAGGATGGCGGGGCCTGCTGGCACTGAAGCACGCCCAAACTGTGCCACTCTTCTGCCTGGACGCATTCGCAGAGCACTTACGTTCCTGTTGCTGCAACCTCTACCGTCGTCAATGCAGCTCTCTAAACAGCTCCACAGCTTCGCACAGCTCCCTGTGCTCTTCTGCGTACGCTCTGCGCAGACTTCACGGTAGCCGCGCCTTCTGCAGTTTCCTTCCGAATAACCATTATGTTAAAATTAACATCCACGCGAATGAACCCTACAACTGCTGCTAGCGCTGTTAGTGGCTCTTTGTCTCCAACAATGTCTTTATGGATGCCACCCCATTAATATTTACGACAACCTTAGGCCGCTCGCTGACGTTTGCAGTAGAGCGTGAAAGAGCCACTATTTGCGCCCGAATCCTCGAAATGCTCAAGTTGTTCCACAGTTGCGCTGCTGATGCTGCAAACTCATGTGGGTGTGGCGTCCCGAGGCCCACCTTTCTCTACAACTCCTGATTTGTCCTCCTAGCTGGGGAGGAGGAACCGTGTAGGCCGTTTCGTTAAGATTTACCCGTTACTGATGGCCAGTGTTTCCCAGTGTAGATGGAAAATTCGCCGCCGACAAGGCTATGGCTGCTCCCATTGTTACTCCTCGCACTCGTCTCGATGATACCGTGCCGCTTTTCTTGAATCAACGGTCCTCTTTAAGTAGTGGATTTATATATACTTTTATGTGGGACTATTGGATGCTAGCATGCCACTGCTCGTCTAGCACTTGGCTTTCCGGGTGAAGCTACCACTAAGGGTGCTTGGACGGAGTCGACGAACAGCCCCACGGGAAAATAACCCCACACAGGAAGAGACTAGTGAAAATACTGGAAGAAACAGTTTCATGATTGCGAGTGTGTCATACGTTCAACAAGTTAGCGAGTCTGCCCGCGAGAAAAAGATTGGGGCCGCCCAACCGCGCAGCAACGGTAGTAGTCGCAACAGAAACATGTATGTTCGCCTCGGTATACTTAGCTTCCAGGGGAGGTTGATTTATATGCTTTATCTGGAAACCGTATTTGCATGGCTGTGGCAGTACATGTGCAGCTGGGAAAAGCATCTGGAACTGTCTTGGAACAGTTGCATGCAACAACTACGGGTGAATTCTTTGCTTCTCTCGAGGCACAACATTTCGCTACAATGAGATCAAAATAAAGTTGTTGGAGTGTGTCTATAAACGCTGGGAAGCAGGGGCTTCGACGCGTCATGCGTGACGTTGCAAAGGTTACAGCCCGTTCAGCAGCAACACTTCATTGCCAGCTCGGCAGCATCAACTGCTGCCAATGCAGCTAAATGCACTGCTGTGCGTCAGCAGTCAAGAAACGCTGCAGAGCAGCAGCAGCATTGCTCTGAAGAAGAAGCCGCGCTCCCACCAACGCATCGCCTTTCTCCTACTACTGACAATTTGGATATGCGGAAGCTCCGTTTGTGCTATTTCAGGAGGGCAACCGATTTTTGAGGAAGCCGATATAAATATCCGGTCACAGAATCAGCAGCAGAAGCAAGGGGAACTGCCGCAGCTTCAACAACTAAAACAACAACAGCTGCAATGGTCGTGCGCTGCTACCCCGTGGGTGGTTCTCAGTGGACACGAAACGACGTCACGAAGAGTATCTGTGTCAGAGGGAGCATACTTTGTACCAAATGCGACAGTGAGTCTGACAAGCCCAACAGTGCACGGAGGGGACTGCGAGGCGCGCCAGCCTGTGGAAGCAGCAGCCGCACCTGCTGCTTCAGACAAACAAGAAGAAGAGGCTACACCTCAAAATGGGGGCAGACGGACACGTTCTTCACAGGATGCAGTTGTCACCACGACTGGCGTCGCCACATTTTATACGGAGCAGCAGCACGAGCAGCGCGAGCAGCAGGAGAACACACTGGAACAGCAGCAGGTTCAAACTCCGCAAACCTACACCGAGACGCCAGGTTTCTTCTCTACATTTAAAGGGCTGGCTACTGCTGATACGAACGCTATTGTTGCCTGGGGAAAGGGGCTCAATGGAACGCTTAACTCAGGGCAATTTGAGTCAAAGCCCTCGCGGCAAAAGCAACACCTGCAAAGACTACAGCACTCTTTGCTATTTCCCTCGCCATATAGCTTCGCGGCCTCCACTTCTAGCGAGCATGCCCGCTATATTTTAGCCGGTGCAGCTACGGAAGCAGCATCAGATGGCACAGAAGCACCACCACGTCATGAGGGGCACGAAGGAGCAGAGATGCTCTTGCCTGCGAAGCTACAACAAAGGCGGCAAAATCTTCATGGACTTGTGCCTACTGCTGCGTGCAGCTGGGGCTTATCTGCCATATGGCTTATTCAGTGGTGCTACTCTTTATGCACATCTATCGTACCAGCAGCCTTAGCTGCAACATCAACGGAAGAGGGCACAGCAAGCGCAGCGTCGGTAGCCAGATGCTCGTGTGTCAGTTCACACATGCCTGTGTTGTTGCGCAGTGAGCCCCTCTGGCAACAGGAACAACCGCACCAGCAACGGCAGCAACGGGAAGCGGCAGCGCGCCTTGTGCCCGTATTGCAGCAGCGGGCGTTGCTGCTTTGTTGCGCAGAGGGCAGTCCTGCTTCCCAGGAAAAACAGCAACTGCAGCTGCGTGGCGTGTTCTCACGAGGTGATACTGAAGAGCATACAGAAGCAGTCGCATCAGCACCAGCTGTGGCCGAACTTGTTGAGGAGACGCTAACTCGCGGTCAGCACACAGAGCCAATAACGCGATCAGCTGACGAGGCCTCTCCACCTCCTGAAACTGTGGACGCTGCAGGAGCTGCGGATTTTAGTGGGCCAGTTTCAGCACCTCGTTCTGATTCCTATGTTAAAAACCTGCCATCAACGTCTGGAGGACAGCAGCAAGCGGAACTGCGAAAGGAACAGCCCGAGTACATGGGTGCATTTTCAGCGTCTCATGAAGCCCGCGAAGAGCAGGGGCAGAAATTTAAAGCACAAGACGAGCTACAGGGGAAAATGCAGCGCAGCGAGCAGGAAGAGGACCAAAAACATTTGGAACTTTTTTCAAGGTGGGGAGGACAGCTTGTTTCTTGGACATGGAGGCGTTCCTGCATGCGACAGCAGCAGTCTCCAAGGCCCCAAGTAGCAGTTACAGAATCAGCAGGAATAGCCGCTGCTGCTCATTGCTACAGGCCTCATGCTTCCACATCACTGGCGCTGCAGCTGTTGCTGTTGCTGTTGCCTCGCGACATGGTCTTGCGCCTCCTTGCTGACAGAGACCTCAAGCAGTGCCAGCAGCCCCTACCACAGCAACAACGGACGCAAAAGGAGCAATCTCAAAGTTGCAAGAAACAAGTAGATCTGCCCCGTGTTAGTGTGACGAGTCCTGCGGCAAGAACGGCTTCTAAAACGGGCAGCTGCACTGGTTCTATAGTGCATTCAAATGGTGATTTCAAGACTAGGGAGACATGCGACGCGCGCCTTTTGAACGGCGGGTCTTCCTATGCTTTTAAGGCAGTGGGAGCCGGCAGCTACGGACACAAGCACCAACTAGACCCTTTAAAATTGTCCAAGTTCTATGGGAGCGTGCCTTCTCAGCTGCAGTCATCGTGGGGTCCCTACACTCAACTGGCCCCGCGGCAGCAGTTCCTCCAAAATGAAAGCCAGCGTAACACAGACACAAGCATAGCTTCGCAGCAGGAGGGGGAACACTGGCAGAAACTGCAAGAGTGGCAACAAAATGCAGCACCGCAAGAACAGCAGCAGCAAGAACAGCAGCAGCAACAATTGCGAGAAAGCGAGGTTCAGGAAATGCGAGACAGTCGTAGCGCTGCGGCACTAGCAACTGCCGCCGCGAAGCAGCATACAAATGTGGAAGCACAGGGAGCGACATCTGCAGTTGGGGGTGTTCCGGGGGCACCTCGTCTCTACGGCCGGGGGTTCGTGCAAGGTGGTCACCTCCCTGCGTCCTTCCTGCGCTTACACTTTAATTTCGCGTCACTTGACGCCGGCGCTCGGATTATTGCTTCTAGTGGCGGGATGCAGCACATCAAAGCGGTCCAGGTGAGGTTCCCGCGTGAGAAACAGCTGGTTCCTGCCTATGGGTTAGACATAAAAGTGCGCCTATGCCCGAGCACGTGGGTACTTTTGCAAGGTTAAGTATTCACCCCGAACACACGGGCAGACACCTTCGGGAGTTTCTGCAGAAGCACTTCGGTGGCATTTCGTCAACATTGGGGATGGGTGCGGCGTAGAAGAATGTACAGTTTAGGTGCTCTTTTCGCTTGCTGTGACTAGACGCACGCACGCGTCATACACATTGTACTCTTGCTTGAGCTATGTGAGCACAATTTCGATGCACGCGCAGACGCGGCTACTGCGTGATTTCTGCAGCGCCCCGACGCTGACACGTACATGCTGGTGCCTTGCTACTTGCCGTCCAAGTACTTCGTCCTGTCATTTTCCGAGACCCTGAAGATAGACTTCGTGGTAGTTCAGTCCTTTGAGATCTACGCGAATGCCTTCTGGCACATTCAGCTTCTTGGGTGTGTCGCTCATGCAGGCTAACAGCCTACTGTGCAAGCTGCTGCATGTTTGCCGCCTTGTGGGGTTCTGCTTTCTGTGTTCCAATGCACGCGCCCACTTGCCCAAAGGTGGTTAGTTTGTGCAGCATGTTAGTGTTTGTGGCAGCTCCCCTATGCATCACTTTTCCCCTCTGCATGAGTGGAAAGAACATGGGACATTTTTGGCCTTGTGCACAATTTACGAACGAACGCTTTAGCAGGCTTTCCATCATCAATATCGTCAGCTTACTTGTCGTTTCTAATGTTTTTGCCCAGGGCAGACACGTACCCGACACGACAATGGCGCCTCATTGCTAACCTTGAAACTGCAGCAGATGTTTCCTCCGAGCTCTTTGACCTCAAATCTGAATGTGCAGCCCTTGGAAGCTGCTGGGCAAAGTGAGGCTACTGTCTTTATCTTTTCATGCTCTTTTTGTGGTGCTTTCAGCATGCATTAGAGAAGTTGAATGCAGCTCTTATCTCTTGGGTGCTTTCGTATTACTGTAGGTTTCTTAAGGTTCGTCTGCTAACCCACCACGATGAGGGGCCTCACTACTATTGTTCGCTTACTTCTTTTCAGGTCAGCTACACCGCCTCTTTGTCCCCGTTTGTTTCTCGTTGGCTGGCTTTTCACTTACCTGACCATTGCATTCTATGCGCAGCTCCGTGGGCATATCTTCAATGGAATGGCTTTATCTTCATATCCTCATCGTTATTCATAAGTGCTTGTCGGAGTAATGCCCATTCCGCCGTTTGCCAAGACTGGTGGTGAACTGACGCTTTTGGCTTCATGACTCAGGTTTTCGGTGCCACGGGCGTGCAATTTCTGGAAACACAAATTCATGACGAGTTTGGTGGTACCACACAGAAGACTGGAGTGGAAGCATCTGACGTATTGCCAGCGTCGAACGGACCTGCTGGCGTTGCCACACTTACTGCCGATTCCGCTTCTCTCGCACTTGATGCTAAGGACACCAGAGGCAGCATAACAGCTTCCCCTGATGTACAGCCACACCATAATGGCGCTCACGAGGGACCTCCTCTGCGGCCAGGAAAATTGACTTCTGCCCCATTGTCTCCGGGCTTCCCGAGAAAACCGCCGCCGCAGAATCCGTTACAGCATGGACGGCACAAACCAGCTGCAGGAGCCCCACAGCGAGAACAAGGGATGCGAGGTGGCTTTGCCATTGCTAGCGCACCGGAATTGCTGTCACAGCGTTGCTCTTCCTCAGAAGAAGCTACTGCTGCTTCTTTGACGCAAGGCTGCCGCACAACTGACGGCAGTGTAGGAGACGACGCTTCTGGTGACAGGCGACCATCATACCAAGAGCAGAAGCAAGGGAATCTTGGTAGAACAAAAAATGTTGGTGCCCTGTTGGACCCAACGCCGGCCGCTGCGCCTGTTGCTGCTACTCCCGCAGATACTGAGGCGGGTTTCATAGGCAACAATTCAGCGCAGAAGCATGATCTGCAGCGTAATCTGCCCCTATCGGAAGAGGGTATAAAACAAAGGGCCGATGCGTTCGTTGCGCTGTCTAGCTCACTTTTTGAGGCCGTTAAGGAGCAGCAGGCCCAAAATCTAACTCAAGTCCAGGAGCATCAGCCAAAGGTTCACCAGGATGTGCTGGCGCATGACGCGGACTGGATCGGAACAGATGATCCCCACTTGGTGGGTCATTTCCCACAAGAGGCTTTGAGCGTCAGAAGCAAACCAGAAAGTGCTGTTGTCTGCGCAGGAAGTACCGACATCAATGGCAAAAGCAGGTGGATAGCCGGCAACCCGCTTTTCGAACCGACCACTATCCGCTTCTTCTGTTCACACAATGGGGTAAATCCAGAAACAGCTGCACCTACCAGCGTTCCTGTTCCTGTGAAGAAAATGAACAAGACTCCTCCAGGTCACCATACAAACAGTAATGACAGCCAGAGCGGCAAAGACCAGTACTACGCAGATGCGGCAACGGAGGCGCTGCAGCATGCAGCTGCATATGCTCGTACGTTTCTTGTGAGCGCCCTGCAACAGCAGCAACAGCCGCAACAACTTCAACGGAGTCCGATTAGCACCGCATTCCTGCAATACCTTATGAAGACCACTCCGGGCAACTCAGATCTGCAGACGGAAATACTTGAAGTGCTCTCACAGCTACTGCAGCCACCGAAAATCGAAGCAAGTTGTAAGTTACTAAAGAAATGGTCGTGCGTGGAAGTTCAGGAACTAGCAAGTGGCAGAACGCGACGGGCCGATGATAGAAGGAAAGAAAAGAGAGCGAGCCAGGAGACTGACAAGCACACAGCAGAAACTGAAGGGCGAGGAAAAGCTGTGAATGCTCTGCAAATTCTAGCTAATGGTGTAACTGCATGCGGGAAAGCTCCCCCATATGGATGCATGTGGCTTGGCTGTAGAACTTCTGATCATGTTTACGCTGTTGGTATGCGTTTTCTGCCGCAGCCAAAAGCGGAGGTGCCAATAGGGAAGCTACAAGAGGCGGTGCTGTGTCGCCACCAGTTGTAGGACCTCGCGATACGAAGGGCGAGCATGTACTGGTAATGCTGTTGGAGAGGATGAAATCTTTGGAGGGCGAGACAGCTGCATTCAGATCCGCGTGCGCTCACATCGGGAACACCTGTACTGTATCGATTTCTTAGCGTTATCTTTGTGGTACTGCTGGTGCTGAATTTCTGTGGCCCTCAACTCCAGCCTTGCAGTCGTGTATTCCTTGTGGTTGCTGCGGACTGCACTCTTTTCCGTAGTGCTTACTGCTGCGGACTTTTTGCAGAGCTGCTGAGCGGCAGCAACAATTGCAGTTACAGCAGGAGCAGCTGTTGCATCTCACGCTCTTAGTCCAACTGCAGCAGCAAGTCGGGTTTTTCCTGGTAAGTTTGTGCTTGGTAAGGGAGCTTCACCTGACGTCATGCTTTTGTTGCTGCTGTTGAAACATGCATGTTTTGTGCCTTTCTGCTGTTGTTGCAGTTTGAACGTCTGGGTGCGTTTGATGGGCTGATTCCCCACGTTAGCCCCTTGGTACAGCTGCTAGATGAATCCGAACCTAGCACCCCAACAACGGCGACAGCTTCACAGAAAGGCAGAATGATTCGCGGCACAGACAGTGACAGTCGCGCTACAAGTGACCAGCAGATTGATGCGCGTTGCGACTTGATGAACGGCAGCACTGGCGTTCGCAAAAATCGGCAACCGCAGAACGAACAGCAGCAGCAGCAGCACGGAGATTTCGCTGGACATGGTAGCAGTGGGTGGCTGTGGAGTGCAGTGGAGCAGTTGCTCCAGCCACTAGAGACGTTGTGGCATTGGTTAGTGCTGCCTTTGGTAAGGTGGGGAAGCAGCGCGATTTGCTTCGCGGGCTTTGCTGCAGAGCTATTGAGAAGGTCGCTTTGCAGTAATCCTGAGTCGGTGCTTCTGCAGCAGAGCTGCGCAGCAGTGTCTTGGGTCTACCGTGCAGCTGCGTTCGTCGCACTAACTTTCGTCAACACTCTGACAAGGGGCGCTGATTTTGCGTGTCGAGGCGTTTCGTTCTCTATTGCTCAAGCAGCATTGACATGGAATCGGCTATCATCTGCGATGAAACACGTGCCTCAACTACTGCCTCTCGACTGGCCCACCGAGAGAAGCGAATGCAGCAGCAGCTACTGGGGTCGAAGGTTTTTGATGCTTCAGGATCGGGGTATTCAGCAGTATCCAGATACTTTTGCGGCGATGTCGGTGTTATTGTTGTTATGCTTTTTCCTGGCCATTGGTGGCGCGCTCTTCTGGCGAATGCGGCATGGGCAGCGAGTTGCTGCTGCAGCTGCTGGCGAGTGCGCTCTGCTGCGCCGTTCCTTCGAGCTGTTGCAACAGCAGCACCACATGCTGCTGAGTCAGCTTGAAAAGTATGAAAGGGAACAGCAGCTCTTACTGCTCCTGACAGCAAGCAATCACAGTGTCAGGTCCTCCCGTTTACTTGTGCATCGTAGTAAACATGAAGAAAGTGGTGCGGATTTTCTTCCACGGCAACCAGATGAGCATGACGACAGCGTCATAAGGCTGGAAAATCTTCCTATCACAGCAGGCAGCGCAGGTGTTCAGCGACTTCCAGCTGTCACACACACTGAGGATCCGTTTGAATGCTCAATTAACAGCGATGCCCAGGAGACAATTGTCAAACGAGCAGACCCTGCTCCGTCATTGCTGCGTCGGCTCTCTACTTCATTGGCCCCAAGAGTGCTTCTCGGACTTGCACGCAATGCACCAGGCGCGCCTCACGTGGCGGGCGCAGCTCGTGAAAAAGAAGGGAACTACAACCAGACAGCCAACGCTGCTGTATTGCATTCTTCTGGTCAAGATGGTGAAGTATTGCAGCCTCAGCTTAGAATCGTCCAGCAGCAAGAGGGCGAATGCGGACCCCAGCCCCTTATTCGAAGGGAACAGCAAATTCAGCAAGACCAGCAACCGCAGACGACTGCAGCGGCGTTGTTGCCAACGCTTGATACAAAAGCTATCAGGAGTCTCAAGCTTCAGCGCCACACATTAAGGCAGCGGCGCCTTGGAGGCGCCACAACACCCGTGGCTTCTCCCGCTGCTGCAGTTCCAGCAGACGGAGAACATGTTTTGCTGCCTACATTCGGTGCCGGTACAGAAGTTTGTTTACGCACGCGGGATCCTTACATCCCCTCCGGAGCGGAAGTTGCTGGAGTTGCAGCTTTGTCTGGAGCGCCTTCTCGTAGTAGCAGCAGCAGGAGCAGCAGCGTTTGCAGCACGAGCAGTAATCTTCAAGGGGCTTCAAGTTCACTATTTAAGTCTTTGTGGACATCGCAGCTTCCACATCGTGGGCTGTTACCGCTTACGCTGCAGCCCACACAAAGGCAAAGAGGAAAACGAGCCCTTGCTGGGCATGAAGGCTGCGAGAATCCGGACGGGAGGGCATCCAGCGCTGGCGGGGGCAGTGGCAGCAGCATCGGCTTTGGTGAGCCACTTCCAGAGCATGGTGCCTTTCAGCACCACTCTAGCTGCCATTTGCCTATTCGCACCGTGGTTTCAGCTACTAAGGAAACTGCTGCGGAATCAGGTGATCCATTTGATTCTATAGCAGGAAGAAGAGCTGCGACGTCGGCTTCGTGCAATTGGGGACACATCGGTATCAGGAGCACCAAGAGCAGTAACTTTGCCGACGTCATTTCTAGCAGGGACCCCAATCTGGAGCCACATCAACTGCAGCAGCAAGACAATTCATGTGGCAGAAGTTGTACAGACATGAGGACGCTGACAAGCGCGTTGCCTCACCTTGGTGCAGCCCCCGAAGCAACGCATTCCTCGCCGTTCCTTCGAGACGAGCCAGGTAGGCCAGGCCCTGCCAGGCAAGGTGAGCACTTCAGCTATATTGTCTCTTCACGAGAAAGCCAGGCCGCTGCTAATGCTCCTTTGCACACCGATGCTGCTGTCGAGATACCTGAGACCCAACCCGAACCGGTGAAACTGTCGCATGCGCCAGCGGTTGGTGCTTCCAATGCGCGGCGTGATGGCCGCCGACGTAGGAAAAGGCGTGGGGCTTCGTAACTTTAGTATGTACTGCCTCTAGCTGCATGCGCAAGGGCTTACCACTGTTTGGTAACTGGCGAATATGCTAAGTAATTCAGGAAAAGCTTTCAGCATTACTGTGGGCTGGTAGACTGGCTGGCAGAAGAGATGAACAGGTAGAAACGCTGGGTATTGCACATTAGTGGTGGCGCAGTTTGTGTGGAGTTGCAGAATGCCTGCGGGAAAAGAAAGATTGAGGGAGGAGTCAGGAAGAGCAGTGAAATGAAGGGGCAGATGCCTTGTGCAGGGGTTTACTGAATACCACTTTCGGCAGGAAAAAACCGTCTGAGTTCAGTCATTTAGTCGTGATGCACCTACGCCGCATCAACCATCACTTACACGACGGCATGCAGCTACATTGATGTGTGACCGTGTGAGCTCTTCGAATGCAGAGGTCCTAACGCACCACAGTATTACGGAGCTTATTGAGCGTTTACATTGGCATGGCAAAGGAACTAGCATGCCCTGTAGGCTACCAGCTGTGGCTCTTGCTCGGAAGGCCTTTTTGTCCGGCTTCCCTACACACGAATAGGCCTATGATACGTCTAGAAAAGACTAGCCTGCTCTACCCTCTCAGCGCTGCCGGTGCCCACAAGAAAATGATTCCTGGGGAGCCCGTCACAGTTTGCATTTTCACAACTTGGCAAGTACACGCAATCTGTAACCGGTACCGCTACCTTGTAAATTCAACCTACTGACAGCTCCTAGGTTTCCAAATCGCCTACATTATTGACCATGGGGAAGTTTCGAAAGTTACTGAGAAGCCAGAAGAAAAGGAGAGACAACGTTGCTTGTTTTCTTGGGACAATGCCAAGATGGGAATGTTCTTTAAGTTGCACTTTATGGGGTTGCCAGTAGCACTTCATGCACTGTATGAAGTTGCACGTAGCTTTAAATGCACTATCTTGTATGTGACTCGCGGCCCCATTCGGAGCTGGTTGCACAAGGTAGCACACAACATTCAGGAAACTAGACTGTGCCTTACAAGTTGGAAACTACGCTTTGACTACATGGCGTGACAGGAGGAGTAAGCCTCCCGCACGTTCCATATGAGCAACGGCCCCACAACAGCAAATGAAGCAACGCACACGAGTAAACCTAACGCTATCTCTGCCACCCACAGAGAGATCGCGTACTTGCCAAGAAAGACCTGTTGCATATCATACGCCAGTGTCGCTGTACTCCCTGGAGGAGGCTTGACTGCAAGCCGTCGCAAAGCCATTCGAGCAGCCATAGCAGCGGTAAAGCAACAGGCATACCTAAAAATAAGCGCAGATGCACCAGGAGGGATTATTGTCCAAATAGATGCCACTGGCTTATCGCTGCAGCCACCTGCCCCATTTCGACGCGCCATGCTCTCTATCTCGAGAGCTTCTGACGACGCAGAAGCACTTCGACTGCTATCATACTTTCCAGTATTTCTGTCAAAGTTGCCACTGTCGCCTTGTGAGATGGACCGTTGTGCAGCCGCTGAAGTTTCCAGCGAGAAATGACGATTCATGGGCCGCAGCTTCGACGCTGTCCGCATATCACTGGAGATTGAAAGACAGCAGCAACTAATGCGAATAATAGTGCCCACAACCTGAGCAGCTGCAGCCCCTGCTCCAGAAGGTACTCCATAAACCTGAAACAACAAAAAGTACCGTAAGGGCAACGTCCACAGCTGCTGCTGCAAGCGAAGAACTGTGATGCTGCTGTGGCAACTTCAGCCTAGTGATGCAACTGTCACGTGCTTCCCATTAGCACATGACTTACGACGGCGAAGCGGACTGACAGCGGCATCAGAATCAAGTGAGCGGCAGTGGCACCCGAGTAGCATCGCTGCAGGAGCTCTAAGCTGGTGCCGCTGCTAGTCGCGGCAGCGTAAGCATCCAGGAGCCCAAAAAGCGAGAGACAACCAACATAGCAGCAGTAGCTGCACGCATATACAACTCTGCGAGCTACTCACGCATATACAACTCTGCGAGCTTACTTGAGCTCTACAGTAACCATAATGCAACTACATAGCAACCATTGAGCAACCATCCTCCGTAGCAGCATAAGCTGCAGCCCCTTAATTTCGCTAGCTCGTTATTAATTGCAAAACTGAACTTACACTTGCAGTGTCAGTACACAGCCGCTGCTAGATGCGACCGTTGATGGACCGAAGACGCAGCGGAGGGCCGGGGCGGCAAAGAGAACTCCGGCGGCTGCACTCGCAAGCCCCAAGGTTCCTTGCAGTAGCAGTAGAAGCTGCAGCAGCGACAACGCTGGCGAGTACGGAGGGCGCCGCACGCTTTGCGTTATCTTTGACGGAGACGTGAGGCGAAAAAGCAACGTCATCAGCCTGCCAAGAAACAGAGATTCCAGTCTGCCAGCCCCGCCCCTGTCGGTGCCAGTGCGCCTATTGCTATCGCTTTCCAGAAGTTCCTTTCTTTCGACGCAGTAAAACTGCGCCAACTCATTCTGGTGCCGGTAATCGATGTGCTGTTCTCTTTCCCCCTTTTGTGACTTAGGGCTGCAAGTCTTGCGTCGCGTGCAGAACGGTTCCTTCTCGACTTGCTTACCAGCAGCGGGAACATGCTGCTTTTTGCATTCTGCCATGCTTGATGAGGGAAACAACCGTCCAGCATCTGATACCACCTGAGCAGCTGCACGATCTGCCGCAGAATGCTGGGCTTGTAGAACACGGAAACTGTCAAAGGCAGCACTTTCGGTGGGCGCGAAAACAACGCGACAAATAACTGAAGCTGTCCCAGACACGAGAGCATATTCTGCTGCTGCTTTACTGTCCAGTAGCAACAGTAGAAGCAGCTGTTCCCCGTTCTGCAGCACTAGCTTCTGTGCTAGAAGCATCAGATACACAGGAAGCAATTGCATATGCGCCGTGGATATATATTCGTCAAAAGACCGACGGAGTGCAGCACACATTAGAGCTTCTGCTCCAGCTGCTACAGCTGCAAGTATTCCTGACGTCACATCAGATTTGCCGGCCTTCTTGGTTGTTGCTGTTGAGCATACACTTAAAAGTTGAAAGGGCGGCCATGCTTTAAGGAAACTGGGGCCTCTTGCTGAAGTGGAGGACGTTGCTCCTGAAGTAGTTGCTCTTGGTTCTGTTGACTCCACCTTGACCAGGCGGTAGCACTGTAGCCAGACTAGTTGCAGGAAAATAAGTGATGCACATAGCTGAGCGCCAGCAAATGCCATCATGGGACTGAATAACAATTTTTCCGTTAGTGCTGCATTCCGAGCGTTTTGCTGCAGGGGCAGCGCCACTGCAAGGAATGTTGAACGTACTACTGCTGAAACTGCTTCTGCTGCACCGCGTGCCCCCAGGGACTGGAGTAGCAAGCACCGTACAGACAAAACTTCTGCCGCCGCATCGACCAGACCGGCAAAGGCAAAGACGGCTGCAGCAAGGCGGTAGGCATTAATGATCTGCTGCTGGTTAGGTGAGAACCCACCAAAATCGGGACAAAGGACGAAAAGCCAAACCGGAACTAAAAACAGAGAAACGCAAAAGCATGCAAATAATGACAAATACGAGAGGTTAAATGAGCTTTGTTGCTCTAAGCGCAACTCAGCTTGCGTGTGTTGTTTCCCTCCAGGTGTTGCTGAGCAGCGTGCTGCTACCCGTGCAGTCCCCTCACGAGCAATGAATGACACAAGTTGCTGCAATAGTGGGAGCTGCAAAAGGCAGATTCCTATCTCTGTGGATGTAGCTTCCCCCGATGAATGGCGTGGCAACAAGACAAGGACTAAGGAGCTCAAAGCAGCTGCAGCGACACGAGCCACCAAAGAAGTCACCGGGAGTGTGGTTCCCGAATCCTTTGCTGGCATGCTGGCTCGCCAAGCTCATCAGATATGCAAAACCGCAATCTCCGGCGGTTCTTCGAGTACTTGCCTCCAAGCTCAGGGCTGATGGTTGCCAAGGCGGGCAAATCGCCCAATATTTTCGTTGAACATGCATTTATGTGGGAATAATTTCAATAAGAGTTGAGTCGTACATCACTATCAGGCCTATATAGCTGAGTACTCGGTGTCATTGGTTCTGCTATTGGGAAGACGGGGCTTCCCGCCTCATGATATCAAGTTTGACGCAGTGAATCTATGCTTTTCTCGTCGTGAGTTTTACGTATAGTGGATTTCATCATATCGCGGCATTTGGTAGGTTTAGTGTCTTGGTTTCACTGTTTCTTTTATCGCGAGCAGTGTTGTTCCTGGCAAATCGGCATGCGGGTCTCTCGCTTTGCCCCGTCACTGCCTCGCCCAATGTATTGTTTCGTCTAGTCCACTTCTGGAGCCATTGCACTGTAATCAAAAGATTGAGTGAATATTAGCACGGTCATTTTGCTAACGCAACCAAGATGTGTTCATGAGCTAGAGGAGACGTCCCACAGCGGCGGTTAAGAGCTCTCCGTGTGACAGCAATGAACGTATTCTCGATACGTTTCCTTTAGACTCGTGTCCTCGAAATCTCTTTGCACGCTCTCCGAAACAATTTTTCACAGTGCAAAGCTAGCAAAATATTGACTAGGGGAGAGCCTTGCACAGTAAAAAGACTGCGAGTAATGTACACATCGACACGAGCAGAAGGCAGTGTGGGCCACCCGCTTTAAATAGCTGTTCTTTATTTAACTATGCATTGGGTGGGGCGGATATTACTTTCGACGATCACCTCTGGCCTCAGAGATTTCGTGCATACGCAGGAATGGATAGCTTTCAGTGCCCCGAACCAACTAACCACGGTTCGCTGTAAAGACACGGACACTGGGAAGCTTCATTCAAGAATATGTCAACAAAATTCAAGCCCTGAGCCCTCACCTCAGTGTTTGAGTGCAGGTAGAACCGATAGCCAGGATGCATTTGCACTAGAATCCCACAGACGACCAATTCTACTATTTATATTGTGTTACTTTCTACGTTGATACTGAGGAGCTTAGTACACGCTGCGCGGACTCCCTGTCATCAATTTTCCCTCAGCATCTAATAACCTAGTC